CTCCAATGGATCACTTACCGGCTATGTGGTTCTTGTCAAGTTGCTTAATTTTTTATAAATTTCAGTGACCTTACCTGTAGAATTGAGGGAACTATTAGGTACAAGAATACAAAATCGCCATTTTTTAAGCCAAAAAAAATGTCTCGCTCCCGAGAATTTCACGATTGACCTTCCCGTGGTAGAGGGTTATGGTGAGGATTAAATGAGATTATATATTCAAGTTTTAATCTAGTTCCTATTTGTAAAGTAGGAAGACCTCTTGACCCTCCTCTTCTTGGTGTAATAATTATTAATGATATAAATATAATCCTTACTTTTATGTCTGAGTAGGACAGTTTAGAGTGTGGGTGTTGGAGGGCAGACCCTGCTCCACTAAGAGTTCTCCTGAAGCATTCCTGCCCCTGGTCACACATCCTTGCTCCTCCTCTTGGGTGTGGAATGTGTGGCCTGGCTGGTGGGTGACAGCTGTAGGTCCACACTTCTAGATGGAGAGGAAGGAATCTATCAAGACTGTTGAAGGCAGGTGCACACGCACACATACACACACACACACACACACACACACACACACACACACACACAGGCCTCTCTGTTCTCTCCCCACTCCACCACCCTTATCTGGACCAGTGCTGGGAAGTGGTCCTGGAGAAGTCTCCTGGGGCCAGAGGCTCCAACATTCCTCTGTAGCTTCTCAGCTTCAGAAGAGGGTGGTGGTAGGGGTGGGAGAAGCAGGAAGCCCGCAGCTGAGCAGCACCTCCCACCTGGTTTGCATTGCAAGGAAGCACAGGTTTTGACATCCATCTCCTCATTCGTGGCTCCCTCATTTGATTTAAAATTTGAGCCCAGAGGAGAGTGATGTAGTTAATTAGTTCCTGAACCACCCCCTGCCACCCACAAAGAAAGGATCTGGGCCAACAGGCTCGGGGAAGGGGCTCGGGAAAGGTGCAGTGGCAGAAAGCGTGCTCCTAGGTATTGGAAGACAGTCTAGACTGGCAAGAAAGAGGAGTGGCCGTGGTGGTCAGGCAAGAGAAGCCATTTCAGGCCATCGGCTGGGGATGGGGAGATCAAAGTAAGGACAGGGAATTCCAAAGAGGGGAGGCAGAAGACACTCCTCTGCTGGTTCTAGCCAGAGGGGACTTTCTCCCCAGGGAATTCTCTTCTCTGGCCTCACCTTTGACCCTGGTCTCTGGTTTCTGGTCCTTAGGTCCTCAGATTCTCCCCCTGGGCTGTTTAGCTCAGCCCACACCTGACCTTTGAAGGGCTCCTAGTGCTCCCTTGCACAGAGAACTCTCTGGGTGTGGGCTCTGCAGCATGGCCGCCCAGGGATCTGCAGACCTGGGAGAGAAAAAGGTCATCTCTCTGTTTCTTCTTGCCTTTATTTTATTATTTTATTTTTTGGTACCAGGGTTTGAACTCAGGGGGCTCAACCACGGAGCCACATCCCCAGCCCTTTTTATTTTTTTGAGACAGGGTCTTGCTAAGGGCATCTCTAAATTGCTGAGGCTGACTTTGAACTTGTGATCCTCCTGCCTCTGCCTCCCAAGTCGAAGGGATTGCAGGTGTGTGCCACTATGCCCATCCTCCTCTTGCCTTTAACTGAGCTTTTCCTTTTAGTATGAATGTAGGCACCAAAGCATAATAGTGTTAGCAGTATTTGTGAATTTCTGTCATCAACAGAAATCACAAATCTTTTCATATTGCAATTGTTATAACTGATATCTCTAAATGTCATTACACTCATCAAAACTATGAAATTATTGTACTTATGAGACCTGCTACCAAAACTTACTAGGTATTACTAAATTATGACTTGACTAAACAGTTGAATAGTTGTTTTCATACATCTGATTTTCTCTGTTACATTGCATTTTTATTTTTTGCTCTTGGAAACATTATTCTGAGCCAGGCATGATGGTACACTTCTGTAATCCCAGAGGCTCAGGAGGCTGAGGCAGGAGGATTGCAAGTTCAAGACCAGCCTCAGCAATTTAGCAAGGCCCTAAGATACTTTGTGAGATCCTGTCTCAAAATATAAAATAAAAAGGGCTGGGGATGAAGCTCAGTGGTTAAGGCCCCATTACGAAAAAAAGAAGTAGAGGAGGAGGAGGAGGAGGAGTAGGAGGAGAAGGGGGGAGAAAGTTTAAAAAAAAATTGTTCTGTTGGCTGCTGGACTTGATGGAGTACACCAGTAATGCCAGCAACTCTGGAGACTGAGGCAGGAGGATCACAAGTTCAAGGCCAGCCTCAGCAATTTAAGGAGACCCTGTGTTAAAATTAAAAGGGCTCGGGATATAGCTTAGTAGTAGAATGCCTCTGCCCAGTACCACCCACCACCACCACCACCACCACAACAACAACAAAAAAGAATTATTCTGAGGAAGCCACAGATCTTTCATATTGTGAAGGGGATCCATAGCATAATAAAGATTTAGATTCCCTCCAGTAGAATCGAATTCAAGTTCCTGTAAATGTGACCAGTTCCCAGCTGGGGCTCCACCTGTAGCCAGAGCCAGCAACCAAGAGGTAAGAGACGCCAGGCTGTCCCCGTGAAGGCTCAGGGCAGTTTCCAAGGTCCCCAGTGAAGAGCAGGCACCTGTGTTCCCACTCCTTGTACTGGGGGACCTGAGACTTCTGTGTGTGATGCTGAAAGTGACTTCCTGGGCCAGGTCAGGAGAGGTGTTGCGGCTTCCTCCAGGAGAGGCCCCAGGGCTTGGCCATATCATCACAGACCCAGGAGCCGGAGGCTGGGTGCTGATGGCAGCCCCACCCACCAGGGGCAGTGGTGGTGCCCACACCCCTGGTAGGGACCACCGCATTCAGTCCAGGGCCCAGACCAGGAGAGACAACAAAGTGATCGCTGTTGCTTTAAGTTCTGGGGTGGCCTGTTCCACAACAGTAACAAAATAGAAGTTGCCTGGGGTATCTTTTTGTCCTTCTTCTAGCAAGACTGTATTACTGCCCTATAACCATTATACAACGTCTAAGGTATCTGCAGCCCAGGCTTGAACACATATATTGTTTTTCATATGATTTTACATTGTTTGGTCCTGTATTAGACTCTAGAGCAACACTATCCAATAGAAAATTTCTGCAATGGGGTTGGTGGAGCTCTGTGATGAGTAGGTGCTTAGCATGCGTAAGGTCTTGGGTTGAAGACCTCAATTAATTAAACAAATGAATAAAAACCAAAACAACAGCAACAACAAAATACCCCCAAAAGAAAACCTTTGTGCAATGATGCAAATGTCTCTGTTTGCATTCGCCAACTCTGTAGCCTCTAGTTGCATGTGGCGTTTGAGCCCTTGCAATGTGCCTAGTGCAGCTGAGGAATAATAATTTAATAATTTAAATATTATTTAAACTTAAATAGACATGTTACTGTTTGCTTGACTGAGCAGTATTATTTCAGATTCCATGGACTTACGTATTTTACTTACGATTTTACATAAATCTTACCTTTTTCCTATACCTGTTTTATTTGGCCTAGGAAAAAATTACCTGGTAGATATATTGTTAAAGACTATTAAAATTTTTGCTTTAAACAAAACATTGAAAAACTGGGAAATCACCAACTCTATCAAATTGATGTTTATGAACCAAGTGGCCATGAAGCTTCTAAGGCTGTGTTATTATTAAGGGTCAGGCAGCATCCAGCCACCAGAAGCCAAATGAGAAGGGAGCCAAGCCCCAAAGCTGTGGACAATGACCGTTGCAGTACTGTATGAGAACCGGAATCCTCTGCCCCTGTGGGTGAATCTGGGTGAGGTGGGCTGGGATGAGTGTCCCCTTGCTACTTTTACCCACTTGGGTGTTTTTTACATTATATTTTATTCAGTGAGCCATACTAATACTTCAATTCACGTCACACACAGTCATACCCACACCCATGTCCAATGTGGCAGGGATCAAACCCAGGATCTCGGGTAACCCCGGCAGAAAGAACATCATCTTTTGTGTTTTTTAAGCCATGTTTTTATCTTATGGAGGGATGCGCTGGGTTCCAAAATAGAGTAAAATCTGAAACTCAGAAGAACACAGAAGATCCACTCAAGTTATTGAGCAATTTCTGAATAATATCCACGCTATTTGTAAGGAAAAGATGTGTTATTTTCAATTCTGACAAGTAACACAAACCAAGAGAGAACGGAGCCCTGCCAGCAAGAGATTCTGCCAAATCAACTCAATGAGTTATAATCATTTGTAATCAGTCCATTAATTAACTGGGCACAAAAGGACACTGTAGAGAGTTCAGAAGTATTTTCCAGAGGAGGGTAAATACACCCCTCCCGCCCTGCTCCTGCCTACGCAACTCTTCACTCAACAAACCCTAATTTTTTTTCAAGGGAAAAAAAAAACAGTTTCAGTCTTGTCTAAATTCTTTCCACAAACTAGAATTAAAAAGGGTCCAAATGAATAAGCTTCTGGTATAAAACAGGGGAAGAAAAGAAGGAAAAAATAGAGACGGAGGGGGACAGAAGAAAGGAGGTAATTGTGAATATTCACTGAGCACCACAGACCAACCGAGGGGGAAAAGACCTGGTTTTGCTGCAGGCACTTGGTTTTTAATCCGTGATTGACAATGTAATTATAAAAAAGAAACAGTACTGGCCAAATGTGAGTTTTTGGCTAGGATTTGTATTTCTCCTTTCAGTAGTGGCTAAAAAAAGAAAAGAGATGTTTCCAAATTCTGGACCCTCAAACCAAATGTTTTAGAAAGAAGATTTCTAATCATTCTAATAATGGCTCAAAGGAAAGAAAAAAATAAAAAAACATAAAACAAATGAAGTGCTCAAGGTGTGCAGGCCCATTGTAGACAAATATCTAAAAACACACAAAAGCAAGAGAAGGTGAAAATACCTATCATCTTACCCTTCAAAGATAAGCTTCAAGTTTACATCCTCATGAATTTTTCTATGCCGTGTGTGCCTCTTTATTTATTTTCCAAAATGTATCGTTTGAGGCCTGTTTTTTTCGGAAACTTAAAAAGAAATCATGGACATGAAAAACAACAAGGGGGGCGGGGAGTCATCAACGTGTTTGCATGGCCATAGATACGCAATCCCAACACCATCTTTCATGGCTGTGAGGTGTGCTACCTGACGAGTATTCCATATTGTATTTGACCAGGTCCTACTATTGGACATTAGTTTCTCTTTTTTAATAATAATAAAAAAAGAAAACAATGCTGTGACCCAATCTTGGGGTACCTATGCATATACCTTGAATTATTTCCATCATTAATGGGCAAAATAGCATGGCGTGTCACTTTGGTAGGAAAATATTCCTCGGTTTGCATAAAACTCAAAATAATTAAATAGTACAGGTGCTGGAGGTTGACAGATGTCGGATGAATTAGCTGCCCAGGGTTAGGCAAGTAAACTGCTGAGTCTTGGGGGTCTCCTTTTGCATGTCTGGTGGGGAGGATTAGGACTGACTGCTAGTGGTTTTGGGGGGGGGGTTAAGTGAAATAACAGGAGTTCAGGGTACAGGGCCCAGCACACAGTAGGTGCTCCATGCAATTCAGGCTTCTTTTTCTGCAGTTCCCACCTACTATGAAACTTATGTCTTTCCCCTGATCCCAGAGGCAGAGAGGAGGAGAGGGAGGTAGAGAGGGGCGGGGAGGTAGGAGAAAGAGAAAAAGAGACAAAGAGACACAGAAGGAAGAAGGGAGGAGAAAAGGGAACGGGGGAGAGAAGAGGGGCGAGGAGAGACCGCAGAGGGAAGGAGGGAGAAGGCCAAGAACAGAGAAGGGCAGGGAGGCAGCAGAGCAGGGATGGGGGAAGGAGAAGGAGGTACAGCACACACCGCGCTGAGCGGGACTTGCCTCCTCTTAGGACAACAGGGCTCAGGACGCTTTTCAGGCCTTTTTATTTGTCTGTCTCCTGGCTGGAATTCCCCGGCCCGCCGGAAAGCTTGGCAGCACCTCTCCCAGCATTTCAACCTGCCCCTTGGGGATTAGGAGAGGTTGCAACCCACAGAGCAGGGCCCAGGGAAACCTGTTTACTGCGCGATTCGTGTCTGGTCTTGACAGGTACGTCCTTGTTTGCCCCACAACCACCGACCTGGACGAGGACAGGCGCCGCAGGGCCCTGCGAGGGCTCGCTGGTGGAGAGGGGGCAAATCAGGCTCCGCGCGCCGGGGAGGGCGGCGCCCAGCCCAGCGCACACCTGTATCCGCGCCCAGGTGACCCTGCCCTCATCCCCAGCCCCTCTCCTCCGGAGGCTCTTTGCTGGTGGGGGGGGTCTCCTAGGAGTCCTTTACGCGGGGTGTCAGAGCTAAAATGTTTACTAATCCTCCGCAGCCCAGCTTCCTTCCCCGGCCTCGTCCCAGCCACCTATCAGACACATCACATTTGGGCTGTCGCACACCACAATCGCTACGAACCAGGCGGATGAGCCCTCTGCCCTCTCGAAGCTTATGTTTTGAGGCTCAAGAGACAGACATAACCAAGTGCGCAAATGCAAACCCCAGGGCGAGGTTCCCAGGAGCATTTGTGCTGAACCGCAGTACTCCCCTGGCCAAAGGAGGCGCTGTTTAAGCCATGACCTTGAAGATGAGACAGCCACGTGAAAACCAGGGCAGAGGTGTTTGGATGTTGAATGTCTCCTGATGGGCAGTGGGCTCCTGAGAAAAGGATGAATTTAGCTGGTTCCTCTCTCCATCTTGCGTGCACTGTCTTGTCCTTCTGCCACATTATGACATAGCATGAAGGCCTCCACCCAACGCCCACACCATGCTCTCAGACATCCCAATCTCCAGAGCTGTGAACCAAATAACATTCTCTTGTTTATAAATTTCCAAGTCTTGGGTATTTGGTCAGAGCAGCAGAAAACAGACTAAGACGGAAAATTTGTATGGAGAAGTGCAGCTGTTGCTAAAACAATACTTGAAGACGTAGAAATGGCTTTGGAACTGGGCAATAGGCAGAGGCTGGAAGGATTTGGAGGAGTTAGCTAGAAAAAGCCTCGGTTGCCATGAAGGTACGTTTAGGGTAATTCTGGTGAAGGCTCAAGAGGAGGACAGCACTAGGGAAAGTGTGGGACATAGAGATTACTTAGGTGTCTGTGATTAGAATGTTGGTAGAAATATGAATGGAAAGGCTGTTCTGATAAGCACTCAGGTGAAACTGAGAATAAGGAACTGAGTAAAATCCCTCCTTTCTCTACAGCAGAAGACTTGGCGAGATTGTGTCTGTGTCCCAGGCTCTGTGGAAGGTGGGATTCGAGAGCAGTGATCTAGGACACCCTGCAGAAGAAGCAGCAAAGCATTTGAGCTGCTGTGTGGCTGCTTTTCACTGCATTCGGTAAGATGTGGAAATAAGAAAAATGATTTAAAGATAGGGTTTATAATTAAAAGCGAGGCAGAATGGGAAGATTTGGAACTTTTGCATTTTGGCCATCAAGAGTGAGAAAGATTTCTGGAGAGAATACAGAGGGTGTGGCCAAGTAACCATCTGCTGGAGCTCCCTGGGGGTAGAAGGGTACGATTCACCCAGATGATAAATGTTAGGGTCTGTAAACAAGTCAAGATGGTTCCTGGCATTTTGCCAGAGGGAGCCATTAAGTGTGGAGATTCCTTATTGGTTGACTGCTGTATCTAGTTTATGTTAATTAGATAAGCTGTGTGGAATGTATAAATCCTCTGTTGTCCTACAATAAACGGCTCCCACTCCTGCTGTATCAATCTACACAAGTTGCTCGTCACCCCCCAGTTATTTTGCTGCAGCTGGACTGCGGCAGATGGTGGCCTGTACGGGGAGCCCCAGGACACTTGGGGGGTAAGTGATGAAAAAAAGCTGCCCATCCATAGATAGGACGGGAGCAAATCTGCTCATCCCTAGGCAGATAGGGCGAGAGGAAAAATGGCCATTTTGAGAAAATGGAGAAGATTGATACAGTATGTTTGTGTCTTGTTTTGTCTTGAAATGTTGTATTGTCTTTGTGACGAAAATATGGAAGGGGTGAGAAGTAAATTACTAAGAGAAGAAGGCACCCCAGTGGAGCCAAGAATAGTTAGGGCATGTGTTGATAAGAGCCCAGGAACTCTAGTCAGAAGAAGAAAGTTCAGAGGAGAAAAAATTATCAGGAAAAAAGTTGCAGCAAAAGGCTATTACTGAATACTTTTCATTACCGGAGGATGCGTGAATCAGTGAGGTGGCTGCCGTGTGCGCGCCGGTCATGGCGTAGCAAGGATTTTCCAAGCTGCGGCAGCCAGCTCTTCCCTGCCCCCCGCCAGGGGAGTGGGACACCACTGCGAGAGCCCAAATCCAGACCTGACCCAGAGGCACAGTCTCGCAGGCTCTTGTTCCCTGTGCCCAGTGGCAGTATGAGTCCAGAACACTCCCTGGACTCTCCCAGGGCTATCTGGGGCTGCCCAGGATGCTGCAGGTGGAAGACAGCCCACATCCCTGAAGTTTGATCATTTCCAAGTCCAGTAACTACAATGGTTCTCCCACACCTGGAAGCTAATGAGTAGTGAGCACTATTAAGGCTTATTTCAAATGTAAAAAAACCTTGAGATAATGTACTAAATTGTTCAGAAGATTTTTTCTTAGTGGAATGCTACAGGATTTTCTTTAGCCATCCGGAGTTCCTGCCTTCATCCCAGTGCCGGTGATGATGAGGGTGGAAAAATTTCCAGTGTTGCTGAGAACGGGACGAGACTTCAGCTGAGAACCAGACGAGACTTTGGATCAAGCTAGCTGTCTGCAGAACTTACTTGGACTGTGATTTATCTGGACTGTGAGTTAATCTATTGAGACACTGCTTTACCTCGACTTAGACAACAAACTGTAATCTACAACAAATTGTAACTCAGTATCTTTGCTAACGGTGTCATTGCTGGTATAATTTTTCCAAGGGCTTCTTGCATGGAGCCATCAATTGGCTTGGTATTGTGGCATTTTGTTTCCTCCCCTTCTGCTTGTAGCAGATTATTTATGATGTTTGTGTAAAAACCACTATGGTCATTATTTAAATTAAACAAAAGGGGGAAATGTTAAGGTCTGTAAACAAGTCAAGATGGCGCCTGGCATTTTGCCAGAGGGAGTGGTTTGTGAAGTAAGGCCAGTGAGCCATTAAGTGTGGAGATTTCTTATTGGTTGACTGATGTATCTAGTTTATGCTAATTAAGATAAGCTGTGTGGAATGTATAAATACCGCTCCTGTGCTACAATAAACGGCTCCCACTCCTGCTGTATCAATCTACACCAGTTGCTCGTCAACCCCCAGTTATTTTGCTGCAGCTGGACTGCGGCAGATAAGGACCCCAAGAATGTTTTTGTCGGGAACTAGAAGGAAATTCTCCTTCAAAGATTAGCCTGACAGCCCCCTGGGAGACATTCTGCCCTGAAGGCATTCTGCAGCTACCTATCTCCCTGGAACATCCTGCGGTTATCAGGATCATCAGACATCTTGCAGCTCTCAGTTTTACCACCCACATCCAGCAATTGCAGAGACCTTCCCCTCCCCAGCATATGAATACCCACCCAGCAATTGCTGATTAGAGAGCTTCCCCATCCCCAGCATATAAATACCCCTGTGTGAACAATAAAAGTTTGCAGCTTGATCAGAACTTTTGTCTTGCTGTCACCTTTCGTGTCTCTTGTCCCTTCATTCCTCCCCAACTAGGTTCGCTGCCCACGTTGATGTGTCCTGCCGGACGGGACATTTTTTAGGGGTCTTCGAGCTGCGCCTTGCATCGCAGGTTCGGAAAGTTGGGGTCTTGAAGGCTCACTGACCAGAGCAGCCTCAGGACTCTGCTCCCCACATTCCAACCACCACGGCTCAAGCAGTTCAGGTGTGGCTCCGGCTGCCACTCGGCGGCATGCAGGACTGGAGTCAAAAGGTTATCTCCCCAGCTTTAAGGTTTAATGCTGTTTTCCCTGTTGGGCTTTGGACATTTGGGGACCAGCTGTTCCTCCTTTTTTGCCTCCTTTCCCTTTTGGAACGGGGAGCTCCTATGCCTGTCCCAGCACCGTATTCTGGGAGGACTTTCTGGGATCCCATGGGCTCATGGCTGGAGGGAATTTGCCAGAGGATGAAGGGTGCCTGAGTCTCGTTCTTGATTTGGGTCAGTCTCTAGACCTGGGGCTTCAGAGTTGGTGTGGAATAGTTAAGACCTTTGGTGCCATTGGGATGGAAGAAATGTATGTGGTATGTGCATTGGGGAGCTGGGGTGATGCTTTGAATGTTTCCTCCAAACTCATGTGGAAATTTAATTGCCAGTGTCACAGTGTCCGGAGGCAGGACCTTCAGGCTGGGATTGTGCTATGGATTAGTGCCAGGGTGGAGTGGGTTGTTGGTCCCGTGTAGCAGGCTCCTCGTCCTCTCTCTGACTCACATGCAAAGGCTTGCCCTCTGCCATGTGACGAAAAAGCAGCAAGGCCCTTCACCACAGGCCGGGGTCGTGCTGTGGACTTTCAGCCTCCAGAACCCTGAGTCAAATAACCCCTTGTGTATAAATACCCAGCCCTTGGTACTCTGGTATAGCATCAGAAAACAGACAGATGATGGATTCTCAGTGTACTTTTTAGTAACCTGACTTTGAGGGGACAGGATGAGGTTTTTAAAAGCATCACGTGCAAGTTGATCAGATGCTTGTGTGTCAGCTCTGCACGGTTTCTTTGTTGCCCACTGCATCACTACACAATCACCATATCATCACTGGAGAAGGAGGCTGGGGTCTAATAGAATAATAACCTTTTGCTCAGTAAACACCTGCTGTGTGCTAGGCAGGCGAACAGGCGTTTTGTGGCACCGAGTCTTTGCAACCAACCTTTGACACAGGAATTATTATCTCCCAAAAAGCTCAGAGAGGTTTTCCCAAAGACAAGCCAGAAATGCATGTCAGAAAAAAAAAAAAAAAATCCAAACTCAGCTGTACTTGGCTGTGTCCTGGTGTCTTTTGGACAAGCCCAATACCTTCCCTTCCTCGTGAGCAACGGTTGCCCTTCAAGCTCTTGTTCCCCCAGTGCCACGCAGTTTAATTCAGTGGATTCCATGCACTTGACAAAGCCATTGTTCTAGAATTCTCCTTTTCTTCATCCCATATCCCTCCACTTCTTTCTAATTCTTCCCTTTGGAGGGAAGCGTCCACTTGGACCTGCTGGTGTTCCCTTGCCTGGTCAGGGCTGCACCACCCCTGGGGGAGAGGGGCAATCCCCCAGGCCTTCTCTTCCTCTCTTCCTTCCTCCGTCTCTGAATTGTTTGAGTCTTATTGACAGAACCAGCTCCTGTGGGCATGCTCCTATCTGGGAGCCTACCATCCCTACAGATTCACGCAGCACCACTCTCTCTGATCCCTCTGAGATGGCATTTATGGAAATCATGGACCTGAGACTTCTAGGACACAGGGACATTGCGGGTCGGGGGCTAGCCAGGAAGCACCTGCTATTTCCCAACCGGAAGTCAGTTCAGTTTTCTCTTACGTTTCAGGAGCCTTTCCAGTTAATAACGTAACAAGTATCAATAGCATTTACATTTGTGTGGCCCTGCTCAAAGTACTTTCATTTACATTACATTCTGTGGCCTTCTCCAAAACCATGAGATGGGCCTCATTTTTCCCTGCTGTGACTAAAGGATCTGACCTGAACAACTGTAAGGAGGAGAGTTTGAGGGCTCACAGTTTCAGAGGTCTTCTTAGTCCCTAGAGGGCTGGCTCCATTCCTCAGGGCTCAAGGGGAGGCTGAACATCCTGGCGGGGGAGAGGCTGGCAGAGGGAAGCCTCTCACATCGGTGATCAGGAAGCAGAGAGAGAGTCCACTCACCAGATACAAATATATGTCCAAAGCCACACCCCAATTCCCACCTCCTCCAGCCACCCCCTACCCCTTCAGTTACCACTCAGTTAATTTCTGTCGGGGGGATTAAATCGCTGACTGGGTTAGACTCTTACAATTCAATCATTTCTCCTCAGAACCTTCTTGCACTGTCTCTCACGTGGGCTTTTGGGAGACACCTCACACCCAAACCATAAAGGCCTCACACCATTGTTTCAATTGTAGACAAAGGAGCCCATCCCACCTATCACTCAGCTGGTAATTGATGAAAGGTGCAGCTGGAACAGTGGAACAGCACTTGCCCCAGAGGGCAAAACAAACAGCAAGCCAGCAAAACCTAAAGACTCTGGAGTTGGGGTCAAGTCCTTGTTCCAAACACCCAGTTGAAATCCAGAGAGCAACTATTAAGGTTTCACCCTCTGTGGTTGCTGCCCGGAAGGAAGGATTGGGGTGGAGGAAATGGGATTTAAGATAAACAAAAAGGCTGTAAAAGCAGGGTGTGGTGGTACACACCTGTAATCCCAGCAGCTCCGGAGGCTGAGGCAGGAGGATTGCAAGTTCAAAGCCAGCTTCAGCATTTTAGCTAGACCCTAAGCAACTCAGCGAGACTCTGTCTCTAAATAAAATATATTAAAAGGGGGGGGGGAGGCTGGGGATGTGCCTCAGTGGTTAGGCACCCCTGGGTTCAATCTCAGGAACCAAAAAAAAAATGGTGTCAGGATGGATTGGTTGAGTGGATGATTCATTCAGTCATACATTTATCAAACACCTTCCCCTGCAGTATCATCTGACAGGAGAGTCTGGACACGGGAGGATGCAGTTTATATACGGCAGACACCTGCTTGCCTTTTTCTTCTTCTCCCTGGTCTCACTGTCCACATTTCCCAGCTCCCCTCGTGCTGAGTTCTAGCTAATGGAACGTGAACTGAAAACTCCTGGCTTTCTCCCTCACGCAGATGACCAGGGACATCTCGTGAGCTGGGAAA